CTCGTGAGAAGAACAAAGTGAAAGAGTCTTTGTTATTGTTATTACTAATCATATTATCTTTAGTTCAAAAAGCTTTATACTAGTATAGAATTTCCCTTCAAATCTACTTTATTATTCCTTTATTCTCTCTTCCCTTTGACCTTTACTCTCCCACAACTCTCCCATATTATTATTTCTTTTCAAGTAAATACAATTTCCGTAGAAATTGACATAGGTCTTAGATATATCTTTTCTCTCTTAATATTTTCTTTATTAGTTTATACCCTCTTTCAATCCAGGTTCTCGTTTGTAAGCTAATTTAACGATTAGTAAACAAACCTGTAACAATATATCAATGATTTCGATATATATCGATATATATCAAATATCTGTTTCAATATGTATCGATAACTCTAATATATATTGATATATAATTAATGATAAATATCAAATTCATCAAAGTGATCTCTAAAAGTTTGGGCCACGTGATAATTCTTTGATGACATCAATAATGCGAAAGGGTTAGGATTTGGATCTGGATCAAGATTATTTGACAAACAAAAAATGTATATATAGTAAAACTTTGTAAAAAATATTTTTTATTAGAACACATTAGATAGTTTTATAGGTTAGATTTTGAGATACAAGCTTTTTTTTCAAAATATATTTTTATTTTGTTTATTTTTGAATTTTTGTGTTACAAGTTGATTTTGCAATTTAATTGGTTATCATTGCTGACATCATCAAAAAATTTTCACGTGATCCAAACTCTTGAAGATTATCCTGGTGAATTCATAAATATTGATACAAATTACCCCAAAAAATTTCTTGATGTTAGCATTTTGCACAACCAAATATTTGGTAATATACTGTAAAAGTATATATATTATTGACTTTATAATATAAATAAAAGATTAATTACAAATATTATAAAAAGTATAACTTCACAATATAGACAAGAGATTATAAATCAAATAATAATAATAACTTTGTAATTAAAATGAGAGATTATAAAAAAATATTCAAGAAATTATTAAAAGAAATATAAAATAATCAAAAGTAAAGCTATTTCTCAAAATTTACTTTCTAAAGCTAAAATATATATTATATTTATACAAGTTATTTGTTATTCAATTATTAAAATCTAAAACTAAATTTAATTGATAATAATATTATATAAAAAGTGTTTGCTTTAATATTATATATATTTTATAATTAATATTAATCAAATTAAACAATATAAATAACATGTATTTTCTAGATTAAGATTATTAATATGAAATTAATAATTATAATATAAAAATAATATGAATAAAAATATGAAATAATTATATATAATTATATATAATTAACATGCTTATTATTAATTGATTAAGAAATCTTAAAGCTAAATAAAATTACAATAATTAACTAATCAAATTATAAGTTTTCAATTAACTGAAGAAGCACAAAAGTGAAAAATATGATAATCAGATGTCTAAATCTATCTTGGGATACTAATAAAAAAATGTCAGAAAGATAATTTTATATATAATACTTATCCTAACCCAAACCAAATAAATAAAATAATATAATATTATTGTATAATGATTCTTTTCTCATTGATATCCACCTAACCCAAAATCCACAAATGTTTTTATTCGAATTCTGCGGGAAGTCGGAATGCTACAAAAAACCTGATAAAAAAGGCGTAGAAACTTTAAATAAAAATATGGAAAGTGTATATTTATTTTTTATTGAGATTTTTTGTTATTGATTACGTATTCCAGAAACATCTACAGTAATTAAAATGATCCAAGAATTTCTTGGATATTGGCATTGCTCAAATTTGATGAATAGTTAGGATAAGAATACATTTTCGTCGTTTCACAGTAGATGCAGATTGCGTAGTCTGGATCCGTCCAGGAAAGTTGTCGTGGCACGCTTCGGCAGCAGATGTTTGTTTTTCGGTGTTATAATTCTATATTGCGAGTCTTTTTTTGAAAATTTATTATTACTCTACTGCAATCTTGATCATCAATAAAGACGGCTTTGTAAGCTTGAATTGTTCGGTGGTGATGTCAATGTGATAAGTAAATACCTCTCCCGTGGATTCAATTTGCGTATTTCGAAGCAATAAAATCAAAAATAATCAAATGTTTCACCTATTTGAAAACAGAGATGTTATATCGATATCCTTTTAAACGGAAAAACAAAAAAAGACCCGAGAATATTATTTATTAGTAATATGGTGCCGGTAGGTTATACCCGACAATATGTTTCAATTTTAAATTCTATCTACTTAAAGGCAAAATTTTCAAAAATCTGACTGGTAACTTTGTAGAATTTATTATAAAGAACAAAGTTACCGGTTAGATTTTTGAAATTTTGCCTCTATATTGAGTAGATAGCATTTTAAAATTGAAACATAACCAAAAGAAAGAAATCAAATAGAAAAACCCACCATAAATATTATATCGTAATTTGTTGTGCAAATTTCTTAAATACTTATGATGTAATATTTTTGGGTGGCGAAATTATAGAATTTAGAATTATTGAATTACATTTTTAAAATTTAGAAAATATTACAAATCAACCAACTCTCAAGTCCATTATGGACTACATTGTAATTTTTGTAGCGTGATTGTTTGAACATGGTTGTCAAAATCATAGCGTTTAATTTTGTTATCCTTTAATTATAAGATTATGCTTCAGAGAAAAAAGGGCAATAAGAAAATTATTCACCTCCACCAAAAACGAAAATTCATCAGACCTGTTTTTTTTCTGTTTCCTCCTTCGATAATTCTTTACTGCTTTTCCTTTCCTTTTTAATACTACTTATCATCTGTTGTTGTTGCTCTTGTATTTGATGTTTTTCAATTTTTTTCGTTTCAGTCTGTTGACGCATCGGAGTTTCATCTTTAATCAGCTGTAACGCATGGATCTCTTGGGACGAGGGATCGCTTGTACTCATCGCAACAGAACCGAAAATACTCGGCGAGAATAGTAGTTCGCTTTCAGCCAAGATTTCGCTGGTAGGTTGTGATTCGGCAGTTGTGCTAAGTGGTATCACGTTATCGTTATCGGAGGCCGTTTCTTCTGATGATAAGGAAGAAGACGGGGAAGAGGAACGAATGGTCGTTACTCTTTTCTGAGAGCGAATTGATTCCATCGCTTTTATGATTGCAGTTAAGATTTTTACTGGGCCTCCTGGCTAATCAATATTTTGGAATTACGATATACTGTAATTAGAATAGATATTACAAAACTAAATTACAAACTATTTAATTACCTTTGATACAATCACAACTGATCGTAGCTCAAATTTTTTCAAAATCTTTTCAGATTTATGGCGCCCTGCGATTGTAGAAAATAACACCACACACTGAATAGGAGGAATTGCTGTCTTCGTTGACGTTAACCACACCTGTTTCTCTCCTAAAGAAGTACTCGGGGTAACTATAGCCATCGAATTCGCTGCTGTTGTCGACGCTTGCTTCGTTACTGGTTTAGTTCTAGCAGCAACAGTAGCCGAAGTGGTAATAGCAGGTTGCTGCTGCGGTTTAAACTCGTTCATGAACCAATGCAAATCAGCAACACTATCATTCAGTATAATAATATCACAGCCTTCTTTTGCACGCTCGTTCTTCAAATTTGCTTTTTCTGCAAGACGATAAGTGAACCCCCATTCGGTAAAATACCTCGCAATTCGCTGCGACCACAAAAAATTTGAACGATTCAGAATGACAAACGAAAGGGATCGTAGTTGTGCAGTGAGCGCTTCTTGTTTGTGTGCCGATAATTTTAGGTGTTCGTGCGAAAATGGCAGCGATGCAGCACACATGTCTTTGAATGTAGAAATGATTGGAAGGGTGAGACAGAATGAAAAGTTGCTGCCTTTTTGGGTGTCGGATTTTACTTCGAGGAAACTATGCATAATATCCAATAGACCTTTTTTGATTTATATGAAATCAACAAAATTAGTGGGATATTATTTTGGTAAATGTATGGAATTTATGCATCAACACACCTTTTACTATGCTCAGTCCTAACCCAGTACCTTCGAATTTTCGGGGTGACGATGAATCCTCCTAATTAATTATAAAGAATACAAAATCAGCATCTTTTTCATTTACACACCAAACAAAAAATTTCTTTTCCGTATAAATTCCTCTATGCTAAACTACATGACTTCAACTCCAGGTAAGTTTGTATAATTATTCTTTATTTAGAGACGCATATCATTGCTATTAACAAAAAATTACCTGAGCGAACGGCTGATACATCTGAGCCAAGAAATCAGGAGCGATTCCTCGTCCAGTATCAATAACCTCTATACGAACCTTTACTTTTTTCAGAGCTAGCTCTCCCTCTTCTATATTTTCTTTTTCTTCTTCGCCATCAACACTACTATCGCTACCATTAGCAACAACTTTTACCTTTGATTTTTTAACATCTTTTTTTGATTGTTGTTTAGCGGATTCTTTTTGTTCTTCGTCAGAGTTTAGTTCCATTATGTTTAGTTTGATTCTTCCGCGATCGGTGAATTTTATCTTATTGAAATTATCAATAAAATTATTGAAATTATCTATCAATTATCGTATGCAATACAATCATTGATCAATTATTAGAGTAAACGTAAAATCAAACTTACCGCATTTCCAAGAAGCTGTTATCATTTATTATTTTTCATTTATTAAAATTTCACGTACACAAAATCAAGAAAAATAATATTTTATATACATACATTTAATATTATCTGCCGCAAGCACCCAACATCTCCAATCATAAACCGATGTAACGGATTCACGTCGGTGAAAACAACGAAATCAAGTTTTTTACGTTCCAGTATAGGTGCCAGTCCTAATTATTATAATGATAAAATATAAATTGTATAGATTTATGATCGTGTCTCAATGTTGTGCAAGAATATTATAGATTCCAGGAAAAAAAGTAGTTCTGAATATAATGTTATTTACTTACCATCACCGATTTCTTGCAGCAACGTAAAAACATCAAAAACATTATTCTCCGGTTCGAGTTTTCCATGTTTGATTTTAGTAAAGGTTACTACTTGGTCGACAACCTGTATAACAGTGTGGTGTGTAAATTATGACAATTAAATATGTGAAAGTAATCCATCCATATATACCATATATATATGCATATATATACACACATGTATAAAAACAAGCTTATATAAATCCAACTTTTATCTTTTTGCATATGGTAACGCAATAACAAATAAACCAAAAATAAAAAAAAGGATAACAACAAATCATTAACACTTTACAGAAATCAAGTTCGTTCCACAACTTTCGATCGCGTTCAGAAGCGCATGTTGTGATTCGTTTAGTCGTGTTTTACCAAGAGTGTCGACCGTTGCCAATATACCTGTTTTATATTATTAACGATATAAAATTGAGAAAGATAGAAAAACATATGTATCAAAGGAAAAAAGCAAATTACTGTGTAATGGCTTTGATTTGATCATCGCAAGGAAAATTTATTATTAAATAAGATTATATTATGTTAGATCTCAAACAATGACCAATAATTTTCTTTACTGACCGTTCGTAAATCTATATTTCAAAAATAATTGATCAGATATTTGCATACAACATGTGACCAATAATAAATGAAATCATTATCTAAAAATTACTTTACCATGGCTCACATTCGAAATGAACGTTGATTTTGCTGTTTCTGCTGATATCGCCTTTTACAAAATAAATTATTAATTATGACACGCAATTCCCTCACTCCAATTTGGATACACGAAAACCAAAAGAAAATTTTTACCACGTCTAAACTTCTTTGCATGTTTTCCTGATTCAAAGCAAACTCTTGTTTATGTGCCACCTTTTTAAATAGAATCAAAATATTGTTAGAAAGATCACGTGATTCGGTATATTCCACGTGAGTTTTCGTATTCACGCGACTTACATAAAGGAAATACATCAAACACAAGATATACAGATCGCAAACTACCCAACAGATTGACGAGAACGAGAGTGGGTTGCTTTCTCGACCGATTGAGCTGTAATTATTATGAATCATTTTTATTAGCAATAGATAATTTAATTTATGAATTTGGGAAAAATAGACTTACCGGCAAAAAGCAACAAAGTAGACAACACAAACTATAAGCAATGTCTGCTTTCCAATATTTTTGGAAACAAATATACATCTAGCAAATTCATTAACAAGTAAATACGTGAAAACAAAAAGACCTCATTTAATCTTGTAAAAAGATGGAACCAACCAACCCAAACGGCGGAATCGCAAAAAATATTACATGACTAAGCGTATGGAATCCTGATTCAAATACACGCGCAAAAAAACACACACACACGTGTGCGAAAAAAGAAATGAATTTCTCATAGATTGATCATTATTCTTTGATTACACGAATTAATAAAACACTTGCCACTCCCAAAGATGGCCACGTACGCAGAAATTATAACAAAAGAGTAGATTCCTAATTCTGCTGCATGTATGATACTTAGTTCTTCGTGTCGAATTGCATAAAGTATTGCTATATAACCGCACATATTTAATATACCCATGCATATTTTAATATCTTTTATCACGTGCTCTAAACTACCAACTAAATAGGTAGCACTAACCGGCATAGATTAAAGTTCCCGAAATCGACACCTGCCAAGTAAACAATGGAACAGTAATCTCTCGAATAATTTCCGATGATAGCTGATCATGGAACCCTAACGCCGAATACGTGCCCAAAAAAAGTTGTGTAACTAGCGCGAAAAAAGCAGAAACCGTAACTGTGACTACGGCTCGTGCTTGTAACAAAGCTTGTCTTTTTGAGTGATCTTGTTTTACTTCAATATTCATAAAGAAAAGGGAACCCGAATAGAAAGAAAAATTGATGAATATTCTCTGGAAAAGACAGAAGTAATAATATTTTGCACGTACGAAGGAAAAATTAGACGATCTATACTCACCTTGTTTTAATATTTCCTGTGGAAGCAACCAATCAAAAGCTTTGCATATATTCTCATCCCACATTTTTTCTTTTTTCTGTAAAAGCCAACCACAATATACATACACATACATAGTATAAAATAAGTGTGACACGCGGATACAGTCAGTTTTTCAAGGAAACTTGCATTATCTTTCGAGATGATGAATGCAGTGTTTGTTCTTTATTTTTGATATAAATGTGCGTATCAATTAGAAAATATATTGACATAGTTTTTTTGACAAGCAAACTATAGCTACTTCGATTACAGACTGGGTAATCTTTTTATATAACGACAAAATGGAAAATATTATACATGTAGTTTGTATCAGAAATCTGTGCCAGGTTTTGTTGATCTTGGAAAATTCTACTGTAATATTAATTAACATTAAAGGTTGGTTTTAGGATTAGGATTAAAATTGTCTCCCAGACTCCAAGCTACCTTTTTCTTTCGGATTTGTTTTGCCGGTCTGATCAAAAATTTCTGCACTCTTATTGGCTACTGGCTATTGGTCTATGATCGACAAAACCTGGTACAGATTTTTAATTTGTGTATTTTAATATAATATTATTAGTGTTACAATTATTAAATTAGCTTACAAACTTGAACTTGGATTGAGAAAGAGTAATAAACTAATAAAAATATTAAAAGAAAAAAGGGATATCTAAGATCTATATCAATTTTTATAGAAATTGTATTTACTTAGAAAGGAATAATAATATAAAAAAATTATGAGAAAGTAAAGATCAAAGAGAAAAAAGTGTATAAAAAAATAAAAAAATAGTAAAAGAGATTTGAAAGACTAATTCTCTATACTTGCATAAAGCTTTTTAGAGCTAAGATAATATAATTAGTAATAATAATAATAAAAATTCTTTTACTTTGTTTTTCTCACAAGTAAGAAATATTCATTAACAATCAAAAATTCAAATAACAAAAATTAAAATATGTAAAATCCAATTTTAATAATTTTAATATAGTAATTTGTTTAGCACAATATAATATAAAGCTCAATAATTTAATAATAATGATTTGTTCAGCACAATATAATCTAAAGTTCAAAGTTAATAATAATAATTTGCTTAACGTAATATAATATAAAATCATTAACAATTTGTTAGATATAATATGATATAAAATTACTTATATACAAAATTTGAAGTATATAAAAAAATATGAGAGATGAAAAATATTTGAAGAAAAATTTTTGTTAAAAGAAATTTTTATTTTCGGTTACTACATATTGAGTTAAGACTCAAACAGCATCTCTATTTATACATTTTTTGAAAATATAAAAAGTAAACTAAATAAATAAAGTAAAAATAACTAATTATATAAAAGTAAAATAAAAGTAAAAAAATAAAAAAATAAAATAACTAAAATAACTAAAAAGTAAAATAATATATATAAAAGTAAAATAATAAAAAAGTGAAATAACTAAAAAGTGAAATAATATATAGAAATTTTGTTATTATATGAATATTTTTAGAATTTTTATATTTTTTAATTATTTTTGAAATTTTTAATATTTATATTATTACTATAATATTAGTATTCTAATCATGATGAAAAAATGTATAATATATGTAATTTGAAATAAGTCTATTAAAATACTAATTAGCTTATATTTTTAATATATATTCTTTTAGAGTTTTCTGTTTACTTGTAAATATAGAAAAAAATTTTTTATAATTAAAATTGAAAAAATTGCAATTTTAATTATAAAAAATTTTTTTTCTATATTTACAAATAAACAGAAAATTCTAAAAGAATATATATTAAAAAATAAGTTATTATCTTTATTTTAATATAAAAATAAAAAATATTTATTAATAAAATAATAAATTTTAATATAAAGAAACAATATCAATTTTACTATATTTTACTCTATTTTTTTCAATTTTCAATAATATAGTATAGGAATATATATAATATTAATTAGCAAAAAATATTTATTATAAATACAGCTAATCTTGTAACTATAGAAAGATAAGTTATAATTAACTAAATTTAATACAATAAAATTATAATTAATTAAATCTAATATTGTTACCGTTGTCACGATCAGGCTCCTGGTAGGTATAATCGTGACGTAGGTGTTCAACCAACGTCTGATGACGGTATTTTTATGGTTATTCAATCTCGTTATAATTAATATACTTCAGGATCACCATGCAATGCGTTTTCTTCTATCTTATAGATAAGCTCTCACTATTACTAATAGATGTTATGTCTACTTAGTGTGGGACAGTTCTATAGCAATACAGTACTAATATTCTATAGCAACTTTAACAGTTGTCCAATAGTGTGCAATAAATGCAAGTATTTTAATTAAGTTATTATTTTTAATCAATTAAGTGTACAAATTTCATTAACAATAAACAAGGAACAGTTTATTGACTAGCTAGA